CCCCCCCCAGGCCCCCCATCCCCCCAGGTCCCAGGCCCCCCCAGGTCTCCCACCCCCCCCTCAGGTGCCGCTCACTCGCTGAGGGTGGACCTCGGCTGCCCCAGGCCCTGTGGTGATGACTGTCTCTTGCTCGTCCCTTCATGTCCCACCGGTGCTGCTTTGCCCTGACCCGAGACCGTAGCCCAGCTGCCCTACCCTCCGCACCTGTCACCGTGTCCCCACGGGGGTCGCTGGGGTGGGGGGGCTGCAGGGGTGTGCTGACGGCTCAGCCGGCCGGGGGTCCAGGCTCCCCTGCCCCCTCTTCCGGGGCGGGGGTGCTCCGAGGCAGCCCTGGGGTCTCTTAGAGCACTATTGTCTTGAACAAGTGTCTGTTGCCACGTTCTGAGGGTCCCTCCTGGGAGGCCCCCGCTCTGATCCCCAAATGCCGACCCTCAGTACGAGCGGGCTGCCTCCTCCTCTTCCTGGCCCCGCAGGCCGGACTGAGGTCCTGGGCAGGAGCCAAGAGGCCAGGCCGGCCGAGGGAGTGCTGGGTGCGCCTGGCACCGTCGGAAGGGGCACGTGGCTCTCCATCAGCCGCCTGGGGCACTGAGCCTGGTTCTAAGGCAGCTGACTCAGCTGTGGGGAGCAGACAGTGCTCCCCCAGGCGCCCCGGAGGGTGGGCCGTGAGGCGGGCCCCCCAAAGGTGCCCCGAGGACCCCGGCCAGGGCCGCCCAGCCTGTAGCTCCGTCCGGAGATTTCTGGAGCGGCGGGCTGCGGGGAGGTCTGGGGCTGTGCTCACCTGTACAGGCCTGGGGTGCCGAGGGGCCAGGAGGACCCCCTCCTCGCCCTGCGCCGCCCACCCTGGGGCCGCGCAGCAGCGGCTCAGCGTCCGCAGAACACGCGCGGGGAGTTTGGTCTCTGAGGGGCGGTGGGGGCTGGGGGGAGCCGGGCGGGCACCGAGGGGGCACGGAGGGTGGGGGGGCCTGGGCTGGGCCCCAGGGCAGGGACAATGCAGAAGGAGCCTGGTAGCGTTTTCTGGGCTGACTTGGAGAGAAGGACAGACGCTTTCTCTTTTCCACCTTTTATTTGGAGTCAACCGTAGACTGTCAGCTGTGAGATCAGATTCAAGGGGCCCCTGGTGCCCGGCCCCGTCCTCCCCACGCCACCATCCTGCGCTCTGCGCCTCCTGCACCCCTCCCCACATGTGCTCACGCGCACGGAGGGGAGAGTGTGGGCTGTGCGCTCAGTTCTGTGCTTTTCCCTGGCCCATGCGGGGGCCCACATGCCCCACCACAGTCCAGATTCGGGGGGGCCCTCCTGTCGCCCCTTTCAGCCACACCCACTGCCGTCTCGCCCCCTCCCCACCCCTCACCCCTGGAGGTCACAGAGCCGTTTTCCGTTCCTGTAGTTTTGACATTTTGAGACTATTCTACAAACAGAATCTGGAAGGGATTCCTTCTGGGGTTGCCAGCCTCCTCCCGACCCCACGGCCTCGAGGCCACCCAGCTTGCTCCTGTGCCCACGGAGCCGTGTCCCATGCACGTGGGTTTGTTCAGCTGTTCATCTGCTGGGGGCGGCCGCCGGGCGGATTCCAGGCGGGAGCCGGTGCACAGGGCTGCCACGGACATCTGTGTCCAGGTCGTGCGTGCGAATTTCCCAAGCTCTCAGGTGAATGCCCACTGGGCCACTGCTCGTAGTCCACGGAATAACCACGGATTAGTGGGGACTTTGCGTATCCACCAAGCATGGGGTGTGTGTCCCAGCGGGACAACTAATGAGCTCTGAAGGATGACTATCAGCGCCTGTCCCTCTCCGCTGGGGAACCTTCCACCCGACACCCCTACCCGAGGCGCCTCAGGGCCCTCGCTCCCCAGATGAGGCGCCTCGGGGGGACCAGCCCTGGGAAGGGTGGGGTGACCTGCACTGGGACGTGGCCGGCCCTGGAGAAAGGACGGCCCAGAGGAGGAAACTGTGGGCTGAGTGGGGTCCCCCAAGTATGTCCGTGTTCCAATCCCAGTGTCCAGAACTTGTGAGTGTGACCTTATTTGGGAAAAGGGTCTTTGTGGACGTGATTAAGGTAAGGATCTTGCAAGGAGGCCATCCCGGGTTATCCAGTGGTTCTAAATGCAATGACAAATGACCTTCTCAGAGACAGAAGAGGAGAGACACAGACACAGAGGAGAAGCCCTGCAAACGTGGAGGCACGGGGCGCCCGGGGGGCTCAGTCGGCTGCACGTCCGACTCAGGATTTTGGCTCAGGTGATGATCCCAGGGTCGTGAGATCCAGCCCCGTGTCAGGCTCTGCATCGACAGCGCGGAGCCTGCTTGGGACTCTCTCTCTCCTTCTCTCTCTAATCCTCCCCTGCTCTCTTTCGCTCTCTCTCTCTCTCAAAACAAATAAATAAACTAAAAAAACGAACATGGAGGCAGAGGCTGGAGAGAGGCCGGGACCCCCCGAGGCTGGAAGAGGCAGGAAGGACCCTCCCATCGGAGCCTCCCTGGGAGCGTGGCCCCACCTGGATCTGGGGCTTCTGGCCTCCACGCTGGGAGGAATGAGCTCTGTGGCTCTAAGCCCCCAGTCTGTGGTCATCTGTTACAGCGGCCTCAGGACACTGACACGGCGTGGGCTTCGCCCCAGAAGGCTTCCCGCCCCTTGGCAGGGAGACCCCACAGACAGGGTGAGGGGTGGGTCTGGGGAAGAGGCCTCCCCTCCTGCACCCAGCCCCCTCCCACGGCGCCCAGTGCCGCCCCGGCCCCGCCCGCCCTGAGACCAAGCTCACGCACTGCCAGGCCGGAGGGGCTCCTCTACTTTCTGTATTTGAAGCAGGTGTCTGAGAAGACAGAGCCGGGCTCTCAGACAAGGCCTCTCGGGACCCCCAGCCCCCAGCCCTGCGGCCCCGGGATGCTCCGGAACACTCCTGCCGCACATCTCCCAGCCCAGGGCCGCTGGCGCAGAAGGCAGGGAGGCTCACCTTGGTGGCTGAGGCTGACGATGTTCTGCGGACCCAGCCCGTGCTTTCTGCAGATGCTTTCGAATCTGTCCAGGAAGCTGGGACCCAGGTCCAGCACCCGGCCTGAGGACAGAGCGGCAGGGGCGGGAGTCCCTCACTGCTCACTTGGGACCGTCCCAGGCGGACTCAGGCAGTGCTGAGGCCGAAGACAGGTGCCCGGAGCAGAGACGGGCCGTGCGAGGTGGGGGCGCAGACACGGCTCGGAGGCCCGGACCTCGGCGCCCCGCCCCCATGATGTGACCTGACCCTGCGTGCTCTGGCAGTGGGAAGCTCGGTGTGCGGCCAGACCCCCCCCAGGGCAGGGCCTGTCTGCCGAGGAGTGGTCCCCACGGGGCAGACGGGAGGGCTCAGGAGGCGGTACCATAGAGCGCCAGCACGGTGGTCTCTGTCCCGTTCCGGATGTTCCGGAGATAGAAGGTGATGTACAGTCTGTAGTCCGTCTCCAAGAGCAGCACAGTATTGTCCCCCTCATCTGTGTGGACATGGGGCTCAGAGCGGCCCTGCCCCCCACCGGCACCCGGCACCCACACGTTATGGGCCGGGTGCCGAGTGGCCGTGGGTGTGGGCAGTGGGCCAGTGGCCCGTGGGTGGTGGCGTGGTGCCCCTCCAGCGGAGGTCTCTGGGCATAATGGGGGCCCCTCCCCCAAGCTCCAGGCTGGAGCACCTGCCCCCCTGGGGTCCCGGGCAGGGGCCGAGGCATTTGCCACCAGACAGGGCAGAACCCACCTCCACTTACAGTGGATGGTGTACTCCCCGTCCTTCTCTGCCCTCTCGCAGACCACGGCCACGTGCTCGCACTCCCCGTGCAACCTGCACACCGGCTGGGCGTGAGCGGGGCGGCCTCCCTCAGCCCCCACCCGGCCCGGGGTGCAGCCTGCCCTCCCCACGCTCCGGGCGCGGCCGGTCGGGTGAGCACGCACATGAAGTGGAAGCGGAGCCTCAGACCCCCGTCTTGCAAGCTCTCGATATTCTGTATGAAGAGCCGCAGGTCCCCGTTTTCCTCGATCCGCTTCATGTCATCCGAGGCCATGGAGACCGAATACCAGGTCCCTGAAACCTGCAGAAAACACCCCACCGATGGATGAGGAGCCCGTGTGGTACGGCCGGGGCTTCTTGGTGCCTCCTTCCTTCGGCCCTTGGCTGCATGGCTCCCAACTAGGACCCCCTGCCCTCCTGGGGACACCCCCATCTTCCCAGAGACCCCCCTACCCTCCCGGGGACCCCCCCAGCCTCCCAGAGACACCCCCTGCCCTCCCAGGGACCCCCGCATCCTCCCAGAGACATCCCCAGCCTCCCAGAGACCCCCCTACCCTCCCGGGGACCCCCCCAGCCTCCCAGAGACCCCCCTGCCCTCCTGGGGACACCCCTGCCCTCCCGGGGACACCCCCATCTTCCCAGAGACATCCCCAGCCTCCCAGAGACCCCCCCTACCCTCCCGGGGACACTCCGTGGCCCCCGGGACCCACCCTGGCCGTCAGCGGGGGGAGGAGGGGCAGGCCCCGAGGAGCAGCACCCTGGTCACAGGTCAGAGACCCTGGATGAAGGGACCTGGATGAAGGGAGGACAGCCGCCCTGCAGCCCTGCCCCGGGGGGGGCCCAACCCCGGGCCGCAGACCCACCTTGGCCATGTCGTAGTTCTTCTGCACGACGGCTTGGGGGTTGAGCTCCTGGGCAGAGACGAGGCTCAGCCCCAGGGTCAGCAGGAACAGAGCCATGGTCTGCGGTGGGGGCCTTGCCCGCGGCCCGCTGCCTTTGTACCCTTTTCCGCCCTGTGGTTTCCGCCCCTCCGCCCCCGGCACGGCCTGTCCTCCCCACCCGCCCTCCGCGTGCTGGCAGCACAGCCAAAGGCCCCGACCGCTGCCACCCGCCCCCTCGGCTCCCGATGTCCCAGAGCCTGCGACGGGAGCACCTGGACGGGGTGTCCAGCCAGGAAAGGAGCCGCAAAGGACATCGGGTCAGGCAGGGGGAGGGAGAGGCGGGCAGCCTGGGCCTGGGCCCCCGCCGGCTGCAGAGGCCCCGGGTGACGCTGGGGCCTCACGGGGCTCTCCGTGCCCCAGGAGCGGACAGCCCCAGGTCCCCATCCCCGCCCGGCCCACGTGTCTGGATTGGAGAGCCTTGCAGCGCCCGCGAGCCCGGCGTGCAGGCCGCTGTGTGGGCGTCCTGGCTGTGACCACGTGACCATGAACTCTCAGCGAAGGTCCGTGGGGCCCAGCAAGTGCTGAATCCCAGGAGAGGGGCCCAGACGAGAGAGACGTGTTGAGGTTTGGGGCCTAGAGAACATAGACGTGGATTCAGCCAGATGTGGGCCCGACCTGTGCCCTGCCCCCTCCTGGCCAGGGCCCAGGGCAGTGGCGGGAGGTCCCGCGTCTCCCCGTGCTGCGGGCGGGCCCGAGGCGGGCTGGTGGCCGGGGACGGGGACTGAGCAGGACACTGGACACCCAGTCCTGTGTGAAACCCCAGACAGCAGCTCATGCGCTGGTTGAATACCTTTTTTAATTGAGTGCCTGCTATGTCCCAGGGTTTCTCCTTCCGCAGGGGGAGGCAGATACGAGGCAAAGGGTAGGTGGTGGTGACCGGGGCCGGCCGGCCCCACTCCCCTCCCCTCCAGACTGCCGCTGGCCCCTCCCGGGGAAGGACCCCTCCCTGGCCGGCCCTGTCTCCGCGCCTCTGTCCTGCTCAGGTGTGTGGCTTCTGGAACGTGGCACCTGAAGTATCGGTCAGCGTCCCGCCCCCTTTCTGTTCCAGTCTTCGTTATGGGGCTCTGGCCCCGAGGGGGCCCCTCCCTGTCTGATTCACTCCCGTGGCAAAACCTGTCCCTCTGACGGTTCTTTCTGTCACAAACAAAGGCCAGGCTGGGACAGGACGCGGCGGGAGGGAGGGGCAGGTGCTCTTGGGTCATGAGGGCTTCTCCCTGTGACACGTGTCATCGCACCCGTAACCCCCTTGAAGCGGGGGGGGGACCCTGGCTGGTGGAATGTGCTGGATTCTTCTCCAGGAGAGGAGCCTCCCCTCCCCCAGACCCGCCCCCTGCAGCCTCGGCCTGTCCCCACTGCCCTTGTCCCCTGCCTCCTGGGCCACCCCCTCATCTGGACACTGCCATCGACATCGTGCTGGACGGTCACAGGCGCAGATGGGCTCACACACGTGCATGCACACACCATCACACACGTGCACAACCACGTGCAGAAACGTCCATGCACACCATGTACACACGTGTGCACACCCACATAGACATACATCCACGCACATGCCAACACACGTGTGCATACCCACATGCACACACACCAGCACCCATACACGAGCCACGTACACACGTGTGCTCAACCATGTACATGCAGCCATGCACGTGCCAACACAGTGTGCAGTCCCACATATACAAGTACACACATGAGCACACCCACATACACACCAACACACAAGTGCAACCCCCACACACACACACTGACACACATGTGCACACCTACACACAGACACACACCCTGCACACGCCAAGACACATGCACACACTCACAACACTAACACATGTGTGCACAGCCACACACACACACTAACACACGTGCTCACACCAATGTGTAGAACACACCCTGCACACGCCAACACATGCGCACACTTGCACACACACGCACTGCATCCTCAAATACACCTCAGTCTCCCACTTTTCTTCACACTCAGATTTCTCTAAACACAAAACTCAATGCCTGCTTGAATGGAAGAATTGGGAGAAAATATAAAAGAAGTCAAAGCTGGCCTTGACTCTCAGGTAAAGATGGCGTCCCGGGGGCCGGTGGAGAGAGAGGGGAGACCGCGTTCCAGGGCAGCCCTGGCAGGCGTGAGAGGCAGGCCCACCCAGCTCACTGTCCCCAGGCGGGCGGCGGGCGGCGGGTCATGGGGGCCGCTGCCCTGCGTCCGCTCTCCTGGGGGATGGGCAGCCCCCTCCCCTGAGAACCCCAGGCCCGCAGCACGGAGGTGCCTTCAGCACCGAGCACACGAGCAGCCGGGGCGCCGCGGGAACTCGGGCCCGCGGGGAGGAGCTGCCGCGGGAGCACGGAGCCAGGAGACTGCGAGCGGGGGCGCTGGGGACCCGCACCAGGACCCGCACTTGGGGCCCCTCCGCCATGTGGGCGCACATCTCTGTGGTGTGGAGCCACTCAGTTGGTGACAACTGTCACGCCGCCGTGGGGAGCAGAGCCACCCCGCGTACGGTTACTTTCTCAGTAACAACAACGCCTTTGTTGTCAAAGGGGAGGAATAAAGACAGACGCGTGTTACGACCACACATCAGGACGCGGGAGGGGGCACGCGTGGCCGTGGTTTCGCTGTGCGCTGGTGCGCCTGCCAGACACGTGTCACCTCCGTGATGGGAAAGGGGAACGCGGCAGAGGCTTGCTGGGAAGCACGGCGACGTGCTCCCTGGACTGGGCGGGCGTCACCTGCGGGAGGAAGAAAGAGAAGCGGGTGCAGCATCTCTGCCGTTTGAGACACCGCACTGTGGGCAAGGATCCGTCACTAGAAAGTGAAGAGGGAAAATGGAGGAAGTGAAAGGCAAAGGAGCGTTTAGAAATACCTTTGCTTTTCTGAGGGGACGAGGTCCCATCGTCTGGCAACCACGAGAAGTCCCCACTGGCAGGACTTCATTGTGACTGTGACTTTCTTTTTTTTTTTTTTTTTAATTTTTTTTTAATGTTTTTTATTTATTTCTAGGAGAGAGAGAGAGAGACAGCGTGAGCAGGGGAGGGTCAGAGAGAGAGGGAGTCACAGACTCTGAAACAGGCTCCAGGCTCCGAGTTGGCAGTCAGCACAGAGCCTGTCGCGGGGCTCGAACCCACGAACCGCGAGATCATGACCTAAGCGAAAGTCGGACGCTCAACCGACTAAGCCACCCAGGGGCCCCTATGTGGNTGACCTAAGCGAAAGTCAGACGCTTAACCGACTAAGCCACCCAGGCGCCCCGTGACTGTGACTTTCTACGTCTGCATCATCAAAGGCTCTGCTGGCGTCACCATCCCCCCCAGCCCGAGAGCAGGGCACAGGGTCCGGGCTGTGATTTCACAAAGACCCGGAGACAGAATGCTTGGAAAACCACCAGCTTGTCCCTTACATCGCCTTGGCCAAGGTAAAGGGACCCTTCGGGGGGATGGGGACACATTTGAGGGATGGTGGTTAACAGTGGCAACTGCTTGGAGAGATGTCACCGGGCACGTGCTGGACAGACCCCCTCCGACCCCACCCACCTGGCATTTCTAATGCCCTTGAATTTGAGAGGTGGCCCGTGGCCCGTCACGGGCGTGCGGCTGTGTCCAGGGCGGTGCTGTTCAGGCAGACCGTCGGACGGAAGAGCTGCATTTGCAACATCCACTTTTCTAGCGGCCACGTTGTAAAAGGTAAAAGAAACGAGCGAGTTAATTTTCACAGCATATTTGGATTTAATTCAGTCGATCCAGTCTATTATCATTTCAACATTTTATCAGTATGAAATTATTAGGGAGATATTTTATTTCTTTTCCTTCATCCTGCATCTGCCTTCGGTGTGTTCTGTGCACTCAGGGGACATTTCAAGTCAGAGCGGCCACGTTTTATGTGCTCAACAGCCACACGTGGCTCGTGGCTACTGAGCCGCTCAGTGCGGATCGAAAGCCTCTTGCCCGTCAACCGAGCGCTCAGAAATGAGGCCTCAGAGACCTCTGCTCTGCTCAGGACGTAACCTGACAGACGTGGGAGCAGAAACCCGACCTGACCGTCCGGTGTGAGCTCGGGGGGCGGGCTGGAGCCCAGGGCTCCACGTTGGAACGCAATGCCTGCACTTCCGGCTCTGGTCTCTGTTTACCAGTATCGACCCTCGGGGGAGCCCATAGTCTTATTTAAACCGCCATGTAGCCTTGGGACAAATGAGCCATCCTACCATCCGTGGAAGGAGAGAGAACAAACGATCTTCCTCGTGGTTCAGGAAGACTCCCCCCCTTGGCCTCACCTCACTTCCCCGGCCGAGCCGTGGGGGAGATTCCGTGCGTCTCTCTTCTGTGACGCAGGTGGCATTCGCTGAGCAATCGAGGAGGGCCGGTGGCCGCCTGCACTCGGTCCCGGGGGGACCCGGCGCCCCAAGGAGCTCCGGCAAGACAGAGCCCCCCACCTCACCCCGGTGCTGCTGGCCGAGCGTTCCGGAAGCAGGGGCTGTGGTCGGCATCCCCATGTCTACAAGTGAGACGCGTAAACTGTGGTTGGACGGTTGGACCCGGAGTTGACTATTTCACACCTGCTTTTCTCCCCTTTCCTCCAGGAGACGATGAACTTGAAGAGAAGGGTGCTGGTGCTGGTCTCCTGTGTGTTTTCCTTCCTGCTGGTGGAGCGTCATCTCAGGTAAGTAGAAGGTGCTGGGGAATCACCGCGGGGTGTGACGGCACAGACGGGGAGGGGCTGGATTTGGGCCGGACGTTGACAACACTCTGGAAAGTGACCCGACGTTCCCTTCTCTCCACGGGACGAGGCACCGTGTGATGGGGAAGGGCTGTTTCTGGGGGAGCAGTGGTGGCCCCGAGCCTTTCCATTCTAGATGTTGGGGGTGGGCAGACAGGCTGGACGCTCGGGTAGAGGCCTGTCTGGAGCATCACGGTTTGCACAGTAAGGGTCGTGACGGAAAAGGGAGGTAAGGCCAGCGACGGCACGCGGCTGCTCCTCTGGCCCAACGGTCCCGGGTCCGTGGTGGCCGGCGCCCGGGCCCCAGTGGCAGGTGCGCGCCGGGGGCCTCTCTCCGACTCTGGCCTCCTCCCAGCCCTCACGACCACTCAGGGGCAGGGCTCTCTCTCTCCCCACCTGCAACTGGAAACGCATCATATTGTGAGAAAGAACATCTTTAAACACGAAGCCCTCACAAAACGCACGTGTGATAAAAGGCTTGTATCTGAAACACGCGAAGATCTCTTCACGGCTCAACGGCAAGGAAACGACGGCGGGCAGACCTGCCCGGACAGCTCCCCAAAGCCGCTCAGCGGGGAGCGGGCGGGCGCCTCATGGTCGCCGGATGCTGCAGATCCAGCGAGGAGCCGCCACCACACGCCTGTGAGGGTGACCTGAATCCGGAACCCCAACAGCACTCACCGGCCAGGATGCGGCGCAGCGGGATTCTTGTCCGCAGCGGGGGCCACGAGGCATGGGGCGGCCACGTTGAAGACTGTTTGGTGGCTTCTTATAGAACTAACCGTAGTCTTTCCGATTACATACCAATCACGCTCCTGAGATGTACCCAAGTGGCCTCAAAGCCCCATCCAGAAACAAAGACACAGGTGTTTTTAGTAGCTTTATTCGCAATTGCTGAGAGTTGAAGGGACCCAAATGCCAGCTGGGCGGGTCAGGCGTGGTGCGTCTGGCCGAGGTAATGTCGTGCGGCACTGAGGGGTGTGAGCCGACGAGCCAGGGGGACACGGCGAGCCTTCCATGCAGGTCACTGAGAGCAGGAAGCCAATCTGAAAAAGGCCGTGCAGTGTACGTTACACTCACAGTGGGGGGGGAGTCCTGTATCTTGTCTGGCAATCCCCCCTCCCACCCCCCACAGAGAACAGGCATCTGTTGGCAAGAAGCTTTGTTGTATTGACCATGCAGGGCGCCGGGGGCTCAGTCGGTGAAGTGTCCGACTCTTGACTTGGGCTCAGGTCACAATCTCATGGTTCGTGGGTTCGAGCCCCACGCTGGGCTCTGTGCTGACGGTGTGGATCCTGCTTGCGCTTCCGTCTCTCTCCCTCTCTCTGCCCCTCCCCCACTCACACAAAAAGACCCTGCAGATTGAGAGCAGAGCCAGCAGGAGCCAGGCGGGTTCTACTGGGGATGGAGCCAGAAGGGAGGGGAAACCAGAGACGGAAAGTTCCAGAGGCAGCCAGAGAGTCAGCTTTCTTGCCCGCCAGCTCGGCAATGTTCTGCACACGGTGCGTCTCCGTCGGGCGAGGGTGTGTGTGTGTGCATGTGCGTGTGTGTGTGCACGCACGTGCATGGTGGGGGTAGGTCCAAGGAGAGGGGTGTCATTCAGGGAACAAAACAGAGATAACGGTCCCACAACGCAAGCTTTGTCGCCCCTGGAGCCCGGGGGGAAGCCGGGGGAACACACGTCCCCGTGATGGCGTGCGGCTGTGTGATCAGCAGGCGCCGATGCAGGTCTGTGGGGTCCGTAAAGTCGCAGCTGGGCCTGTAGGCACGCAGGTGGGCGGCGGCCCGGTCCTGGCAGGGAGGGGTGGCGGCAGGGAGCCAGGCGCCCCAGACCCACCAGGCGGCAGCCCCCCTTCCCTGCGTCCCGCAGTCTCAGCCCCTGACCCGCGTGCCCGGGGCCAGGCCGGCTCCACGGTGCACACGGCCCCTCTCTCCAGGGTGCTGGTGGGGACCCCTGCCCAGCCGACCGCGTCGTCCACTCCACCAACGCTGCGTACGACCCCGGGAGCCCGTGACGCCGACATTCTACAGGAAAGGCCACTCTTCAGTGAGCCGGCCGTTTGTCACTTGGAGGTTGAGTGCAGCTCGGCACCGGCTGTCCGGATTTTGACAGTCTGATCCTGGGGAGTCCAGTAACGAAATTGGGGCTCCCTCTCGAACTTCTTCCCTTACGGACAGCTCGGCCCAGCGCTACGGAAGCAAGCCGCCTAATACGCCCCTTAAAGCGCCACAAAACTCGAGGTGAATCGTATTTAGATGAAAATGAAAGGCGGACGCCGGACTCCTTCTCCGGCCCGCTCACACTAACACGTGGCAAAGCCACTCAGCGGGAACGAGGGCGCTAAACGGCACCACGCGCACAGGCCCTTCTTGCCTCCCCCGCTCTGGCCATCACCTCACCTGCCCCTCTTTCCTGACCCCCTGCCCTTTCCAGACCTGCAGGGCAGCTTCTCTCCACATGGCTCTGCTGACCCCCAGATCCGGTCGGATGGACGGCTCATGCCAGGGCCTGTCCCCGCCGGCAGGTGGCCGCCTCGGCTCCCCCAGGGCAGGGCGGAGGCTGTGGGCCCATAGCCGTGTGGCCGGCTTGGACAGCACCTGCCGCGCCGTGAATATTTGCTGAACAAACAAATGGATGCCTCGTAATAACTTGGCTCTCCCTTCGCTCACAGGCCTCGTGTAGAAGAACTCAGGCTCTCAGACTGGTTTGATCCTGGGTAAGAATGAACACGCCCACCTCCCCACGCGGATAACGGTGCCCGGTTTGGAGCCTACGGCTTGGCCCCCCAGGACCCTCCCCTCCCCTGATCGCCCAGCGGAGCTGCTCTGGGAGGCTGCCCGTGGCTGGGGTTGTAGTTTGCAAGGCTGTGAACACGGACACGCTGTCCTTGGTTTAACCATCTTGGTTTAGTGGATGACAGACTCTTTGAGGGGGGCTTGAAAATGCTGTGACGGCTCCTCTGTGTCCTGGCGCCAGCACTGGGGAGCCCCCCCCATCTGTAATGGCCGGGGAGTATCGGACTTCAGGGCTACGCACCGTCATGCCCTCAACCAGCTCCCTACTGGTTTTAGATTGCCTACAGTTTGGGGCTTTGGCAAGTGACGTTTCAGTGACCGACCTTGTACATCGATCTTTTCCGCTGTCCTGTGAGTTGATCTGTGGGACAGATTCCCAAGATGGAGTCATTAGACCAAAGAAGGCAGGCATGGGCGTCTGGGGGCTCAATCGGCTAAGCGTCCCACACAAATTAAAAAATAAAAGAAGAAGAAGAGGTGACTCTAAGTAAGCAAAGTAAGCTTCCTGGCGTTATAACGCGCCCTGGACAGGGCTCTCTCTGGCTCTGCAACAGGCTTGAGTCAGACCCACCCCCCGTGTGTTTTTCCTATTTCTTGTTACGTCATTGTGTTCCTTTGTTTAATGACTTTTCTAAACTATTTTATAAAGTCTGTATTTTTATTTTAAGAGGAGAGAGAGCACAAGTTGGGGAGAGGGGCAGAGGGAGAAAGAGAGAGATTCTTAAGCAGTCTCCAAGCTCAGCACGGAGCCTGACTCGGCGCTCAGTCTCACGACCCCAGGATTGTGACCTGAGCCTAAATCAAGAGTCAGACCCTTCACCGACTGAGCCACCCAGGAGCCCCTAAGGTCTGTTTTCCTTGTTCTTTATGGTCTCACTGAAATCTCTGATCAGTTAGAAAGAATCAGATTTACAGAGTTGCCACATTCTTGAAATGATCCGTCTCTCAACCCAAAATTACCAAACATGAAGCAAGGAGACGGTATGGCCCGTACGCTGGAGGGATTGTGCCTGGAGAAGACCGGGCGTGGGTCTCACTAGCCAGAAACGCCCTTTCTTTAACTGAGGCACAGCTGGCATATAATATTATATTCATCTCGGGTGTACAACAGACTGATTCAACATGGATACTCTTTTATAAAATATTTTTTTTTTAATGTTCATTTAGTTTTGAGAGAGAGAGAAACAGAGTGTCAGAGGGGCAGAAAGAGAGGAGACACAGAATCTGAAGCAGCTCCAGGCTCCGAGCTGTCAGCACAGAGCCCGACGCGGGGCTCGAACCCATGAACCGCGAGATCATGACCTGAGCCGAAGTCGGACGCTTAACCAACTGAGCCCCCCAGGTGCCTCTCAACATTGATACTCTTTACAGAGTGCTCACCACCCTGCGCGTGGCTTGTTGACTGTTCC